AAAGAGAATCAGAGGTAACACCTACTAAATAAATCAATATCTGTCAAGTGTTTATTACATTTATTATATGTTTATACTACTCTATTTTCTTTTCTTTTCACATGCAGTCAAAAGCAAAATTTCCCAAGGCAACCTTTTACTCTTATCATCTACTTAATGAAAAGTTTTGTGAAAAAGTTTTATATTCTATTAAATAGTCTTTTTTAAAGTCAACCCACTATTTCGTCAATCTTTTTGAATTTTAAGATAATTCCCCTATCTTTTTAGTGCAAACTTTTATTATTTTACCTCAAACCATATGCTTGAAAAGTTAGTAAAAAAAGAATGCTATCAACCTTTAAGTTTAGAATTTTGTGATGAAACTTTTGAAGATTGAGGCTGAGTGGGTAAAGATGAATAATTATTATTCTGTCTTTCTTTTCTTTTTCCAGAATTGAAAAAAATAAAAACTTGACTTGTGATTTTCAATATAATACAACTGCATATATTTTTATAACCAAATCAACACATAAAACAACATTGTAAAAACCATCTAATGAGTTAAGATAAAATAAAGTCAACACAATAGTGCTAATTAATGACTTAAAGTTTTAATTAATTAAACTTTAAGATTGCCTTCATGAGTTTTCCAAACGATGAAACACGGAAAATAACTGGGAATTTCTTGGACAAAAGTCAATAGGAGAAAAGGAAAATCAAACTACCAATTTTTTTTTTTTTTTTAAAAAAATGCCATAACTATGAGAACTGAGAAACAAACAAAAACACTAACAAGGTAAAGTCATCAAGGAAGAAACGCATTTGGGGAGAATTTAAACTAAAAGTTTAAAACTTGAATTTTTATGTATTTTGAAAAGTTAAATAAGAAGTAAATTTTTGTAATCATCTTTTACAAGTAGATCCAATCAAACAATACTTAATAATTAAGTTTGACTACCAAAAAAATTGTTGACCAACCTCTGAATACACCTTAAGTCCTTTTGCATTATATTTTATATCTCACTAACCTTTTTTCATTAGACGTGGAACAGTGCAAAATAAAACTATGTATAATATTATTAATACTTTAAGTATATTTTATAGACATCAAATGGGGATGTAGCTCAGATGGTAGAGCGCTCGCTTAGCATGCGAGAGGTACGGGGATCGATACCCCGCATCTCCAAAATGTAAATGTTTTTTTTCCATTTTCTTTTGTTTTTAATTCAACAATCCTTTACTTTTATTCCTAGTACTTGCTCCTGGTACTCTTGTCTTTATTCATGGAAGAACATCCTGAATCTCAATGTCGCTACTCAAGTCAACAGCTCTTGTTTCCAAACCTTGTTTCACCACCACCCTCAATTCTCTACAATGTGGAAGCTTACTGCAATCACTCTCCAATTCCAAATCCTTAACCCAAGCCCAGCAACTCCACGCACACGTCACCACCGACGGCAACCTCCGCCACAACACCTATCTCGCCACCAAGCTCGCCGCATGCTACGCTGCCTGCGGCCACATGTCCCATGCCCAACTCATCTTCGACCAAATTGTGCTAAAGAATTCGTTTCTCTGGAACTCCATGATCAGGGGCTACGCCTGCAACCACTCTCCCATTAAGTCCCTTGTTCTCTACCGTGAAATGTTGCGTTTAGGACAGAAGCCTGACAATTTCACCTACCCTTTTGTCCTGAAGGCCTGTGGGGACCTTCTGCTTCGCGGAATTGGTAGAAAGGTTCACGCTTTGGTGGTGGTTGGTGGGTTCGAGGAGGATGTTTACGTGGGGAACTCGATACTTTCGATGTACTTAAAGTTTGGTGACGTGGCAGCTGCGCAGGTGGTGTTTGATAAAATGCCTATGAGGGACTTGACTTCTTGGAACACCATGGTGTCGGGGTGTGTGAAGAATGGTGAGACTCAGGGAGCTTTTGAGATTTTTGGGGAGATGAGGAGGGTTGGTTTTGTGGGAGATGGGACCACCCTGCTTGCTCTTCTCTCCGCTTGCGGGGATGTTATGGATTTGAAGGCGGGGAAAGAGATTCATGGTTTTGTTGTCAGAAATGGTGGGAATGGGAGAGTGAATAATGGGTTTTTAGTGAATTCAATTATAGACATGTACTGCAATTGTGAGTCTATGTCTTGTGCAAGGAACTTGTTTGAAGGGTTGATAGTGAAGGATGTTGTGTCGTGGAATTCTTTGATATCCGGGTATGAGAAACGTGGGGATGCTTTTGAAGCTCTTGAGCTTTTCGGTCGGATGGTTGAGGGAAGGGAAGTGCCAGATGAAGTGACCGTAATTTCAGTGCTCGGAGCTTGTAATCAAATATCGGCTTTGCGGTTGGGCACGTCTGTTCATTCATATGTTGTTAAGAGGGGCTATGGAGTGAATGTAGCTGTTGGAACTGCACTTATTGGCATGTATGCTAACTGTGGGAGTTTAATTTGTGCGTGTTGTGTGTTTGATGAGATGCCTGAGAAAAATTTGGCTGTTTGGACCGTTATGGTTTCTGGCTTTGGAATTCATGGGAGAGGAAGAGAGGCAGTCTCCATTTTCTACGAAATGTTAGGTACAAATGTAATTCCAGATGAGGGCATTTTCACTGCAGTTTTATCTGCTTGTAGTCATTCTGGATTAGTGGATGAAGGTAAAGAAATTTTCTATAAAATTACTAGAGACTATAATGTAGACCCTGGACCCACTCATTATTCATGTTTAGTGGATCTACTTGGCAGAGCAGGGTACTTAGATGAAGCATATGAAGTTATAGAGAGTATGAAATTAGAACCCAATGAGGATGTGTGGACTGCTCTTCTTTCAGCATGCAGATTGCATCGGAATGTCAAGTTAGCAGAGATCTCGGCACATAAGCTTTTTGAATTGAATCCAAATGGAGCGAGTGGCTATGTTTGCCTTTCCAACATCTATGCTGCTGAGAGACGGTGGAAAGATGTGGAAAATGTGAGGGCATTGGTGAAAAAAGGAAGATTGAAGAAAGCACCTAGTTACAGTTTTGTTGAGCTAAATAAGATGTTTCATCAATTTTTTGTTGGGGATACTTCCCACCAGCAGTCGGATGATATTTATGTGAAATTGAAAGACTTGAATGAGCAGCTGAAGAAAGCTGGATACAAACCTGACACTACTTCAGTTCTTTTTGATGTTGAGGAGGAAATAAAGGAGAAAATACTTTGGAATCATAGCGAGAGGTTGGCTCTTGCTTTTGCCCTTATTAGCACTGCTCCGGGAACCACAATCAGGATAACCAAGAATCTTCGTGTGTGTGGAGATTGCCACTCAGTAATAAAAATGATCTCTAAGCTCACAAATCGGGTGATTATCATGCGAGATATAAATAGGTTCCACCATTTTAGAGATGGTTTATGCTCATGTGGTGGATATTGGTGAGCTGAGGAAGTTTGATGAAATAGTAGATGAAATTCAAATGAAAATACAAAATTTGGTCCATGGAAATTTGATAGCTAGAAAAGGAAGCTACATACGAAAGGAAATTGCAATACAAAATGTGGCATCATCAGTCGCCATTAGCATTGCAGATGAAACAGCACCGTACCCGTAATCTGAAGTGTCTTGTTTTGCCTCAAAGCCCCAATACCTGGAGATTCTTTCTAACTATAAAAGAAGCTCAAGTTTCCAGTACTTGTGTACACGAGAAATCAACTCCCTCCTTGCTGTTGTACCGAGCATGTCAAACTCACATTCAACCAGACGTCATACCTTAACATCCCAACCGTTTTTTCTTGTGTTAAAATAGATGGATATGATATATTCATTACTAAATCATTTTCTGTGTGCTTCTCTAGAAGTCCTAACAACAGCCACAGCCAAGTAAGATCTCTAATAGTTGTCATTCACAAGCAAAATGCTTTTGAAGTATAGTACTCGATTTTGGTGACAACTGAGATGGAAAGACCAAAGAATGGAGGGATTTTAGAATACAAGAGGTGTGTTAGGAGTAACAGACGATAGAAATAGAAAGAATAACAAAGATTGAACAATGGAGTCCGGGACTAAAATATGATAGCATTGAATCATTAAAAAGAAATACAGCTTAGAAATTATAGTACATATAACCTAAGTGAATTCAAACTTATATAATGAATTGCAATTGAAGGCAAAAATCATCTCCTTCCACCCCACCCACCTTCTTGACCAACCTGGAAATTTTAACCTAATAGTTTTTTTTTTTTTCAAATATCCGTGAAGCTTTTATTTTAACTAGTTGCGCTTTCATTTCTAGAGCAAAAACTTGAGGAAGACAAGGACTTTAAGAAAATAATATCTTGTAAATTTTAAATAATTAGCAATGAAATATAGTCGATACATGGTAAAACCCAAATTCAATAAAACTTCAATATGTATGTTTTATCACATAGGTATGTGGTATGACAAAGCATCATTGCGAATATATGTCATAAATTTGTTACTTGCCTATAGTTAGAGATCTGTCTAAAGTTAATTATTCATGTGTTCTAAGCTCTAAGATATTAATTCTTGTCGTATGCTAGATACTATTTCTAAATCTATTTGCCATGGAAAGCTAATTTGTAATAGGATTTTATTCCACTGGATAAGGTTCTTGTGATATAATTTACAGTTATTTGGATTGGCCCATATATTTTTTAAAATATTACGTTTGCTGTAAACACTTAATCACATTTGGATAATAATAAGGGTCTAAGATCATACGCAGGTGTAAGTTGATCTGAAAATGTGTTGCATGAGCATATTTCAACATGTTAGAGACTGATACTTTTGGATTGCAATAAGCAGCATTGATGCAAGTTTGATAAAGTACTTTATTAACTTTATATATAGGAATACACACATGAAAAGTACAGACGCGAGTACTGCCTATATGTCTAGCTAGACATTGCTACTTCATGGCATTATTATTATTAGTACTGCTGATTTTGGTGGCTGGGTGCTTTATTTATATCCTGAACGGTATCTATTATTTCCAGCAGATTATTTAACTACTCTTAGCACCATTGGGAAATCAGCCATCAATTTTCATATCTGTCTCTGGAAGCCAGGGGAATGGCGGTATTGGTTTAGTCGCTTCAAGAAGAACCTCAATGGGAATCTTTGGTGCCGATGGCTTCAATGGAGTTATGACATGATTGTAGTTTTGAGGGTCTTCACTGTAACCCTGTAATTTTAGGGGAACAGGATTAGTAATCTTCAAGGTAGTTATGCATTTGAAGAAAGTTCACAAAATATCATCTTATAAGTACATGAATAAAGACTGCTCACCTGATCTGCATGCATCTTTAGCACAAATTTTTTGAACGTATCATAATTTGATTGTTGCAGTAGATCATCTGATAGGCGAAGATATGTCACTCCAAACATCATAAGTTTTGGAGGGCCATTTTTGTTGACGCCTTGTGGCCTTGCGTTCAGTATGATTTGGTTGTATGCTGTGGAATCATACCTTGGAAGTGCATTTTCTCCAGCAACTAGGATGTCTTCTCTCCAACCTCCACTCAGTACCTGTGCATGTGTTCATGTTTGGCAATTTAACCACTATAATACAGCATCTACATTTGAGATTATCTTTAAGAAACAGAACAATCTTTTAACTTGCAAAAAATTTAATGCATTACCTGCATTACGAGCTCCTGTGGTGCACTTTTGGCATCTGAGCTTTGTTCTGAGTCTCTCATCTCAAGACACGTAAAGTTCAAAATGGCATGATGGCGAGACAGCATTCTTGCAATGGGACGATATCCGTCTCTATCATTAAGGTTGTAATATCCAGCAGTAAGCTCAGCTGCGTGATTTTCAACTTTGTACCACCAGTGGATTCCAGATACCTGTCATCATGGTCAGAGGTTAATCATCTGGTAGAAAATTAAGGAGACTGTTAATTGAGGTTCTATGAAGTTTACTTTGATCGCTAATTTGACTTTACAGGCCAGGAATGCTTTGTTGGCTTTCTCTAGGATTTGATCACCATGACTCAGCAATTTGTTTGAATACCAAGTCAAGAAGAACTTCCCTTTCTCAGTGACATACGTGCCATTTGATTTGAAGAATCCAGTAGATTCTGGAACATCATTGTACTGGCCTGCGTCATCTGGCAGTTCCCATTCAGGATGGCCAGCCCTTGCTGCAGCTGCTTTGAAATCTTCCTTCAAATATTTGTCATAGCACTGCATATTGCAGAATTTCATTCTTATGATACTTCAGTTGTTCAAATAATCAACAAATCCCAGTTTCGATGAGAAACAACTCTGTTTTGAAAGATAAGACCAGACTCACCTGAAATTCTCCAATACCAGGAAACTGCCATCCTTGACTTTGTGGATAAGAGGGATATCTGAGCTCTCCTGCTGGGCCAAGCCCTACTTCAATATCTATAATAAGCCCAGATTCTAAAAAGTCTGACATGTTTTCTCTGAAACTCTTCATGTAGTCACTGTATATCTGCATACAATAACAAGTTTAAACATGCTGTGTAATAATCAAGATCATTGTTCCTAAATCTGGACGTGTAGAAGTCTATCTGAAACATGTCTAGCCTATTATTACACAATAAATTATTGCTCAATGAGGACTTGAACTCCCACATAGAATGAATATGCTTCTTTTGTTTTTTTGAGTGGCAAGGCTGATTCCGTTTAGTTAGCCTCTTTTGGGAGTAGGATTATACAAGTTAAACCTACAACAGACAAGTTCAACCTAATAGACTGAATTAGTTTTCTTGTTTTTTAGCATGTCAGTATTAATAACACTATACTTAATTTTAATGGAAAATAGATTATCAAGCAGACCAGGTCAATTCTTTTCGATGACACGCATTTATGGAAGGCAAATATACACATGATACGTTCATACGTACCATAGTTGCAATTTTTCTTACGGGGTTGACAACAAGAATGCTAGTTATAAGAAAGATAATTTTAGTTCTCTTAGTTCATTCACCTCAATGGCTGTTCTTCCATGGAATATAGGCTTATCGTCCACACCAATAGTTAGATACTCCTTGTTCCTTGTGCCTGAACGGTTGGTGTAGAAGATATCAGGATCAGATTCTCCAATGTCGAGCACCCACTTGGGAATTGGGATGTTAACTACATCTCCTACATTCCCTCCACACTGATGGAATGACATAATAGCTTGAAGTTTCAAGCCACATTCCTGAACCAGATGAAACAAGCTCCTATAGGCTCTCCAATCATACTGCTTAGGCCCCCTCAGTTCTATGATCCCCCACCACACATCAACCATAACCCCATCAATACCTGTTGCTCTCAGCTTCAAAAGCCGTTCTTTGAGGCCAT